CATGCTGCGATCAATAGAAGCCAAGCTGGATTTTTTTGTTTGAAGGGGGGCAAATCATCGAATGACTGCTCCCGCCTGGGTGAGCCGGGAGGGAGTGTCAGACTCTTACTGACTAAAAACCACCCCGTTCCTTCTCCTGCACGTCGAGCCGGAGCTTTGTTTTTATTTTCGTGTTATTTATTCGTGCAATATTAGCCTTGAGCAGTTACTACAACTATTATTATGACATAAAAGAAACATTTAATTATTTACTTATATTTATATGCCGGGCAAGGGGTCACGGGTTCGATTCCCGGGTCGGGCAAAGTATTATTGGGTTTTTAAATATTCTCAGTAATAGCACGGAGTCTGGAATTGTGCCCGGTATATGGCAATAGGCTCACCCCCTATTACATGGGACTCATAACATAAATAGTGAAAAGTGGGTGTTACATTGTACAGTGGTATAATGTGCACCTCTGCCTACCCTTTCGGGGATAAAAGGCGTGATGTTATGTTGTTAATTATTTACTTTTATGAAAATTAAACTTGTTTTAACCATTTTCCCTGTCGGCGTTTTTCTTATGGAATAAGCCGGTAAACGAGCAGACGGATCACCCAGGGCATATCACCATAAGCAATCGGCATCGCCCATGGACACTCGGAACATCAGAGGCGGTACAAGTGCGTTACCGGCCTTTTGGGGATTGGGAATTTGAGGATAAGTGGGCCTCATCTAACCTCTCTCACACGACGAAACACAACGCAACCGTTATTTCACGTCGGTGTTCTGTGAAGCCGTGGTCTCGCTCCGGTCGACCCAAATTACAGTTTAATATTAGTACCAAATTGTTTTAATTATTTAGTGTAGTTAATTGATGATTCCATATTAATTAAATTCATAATTATTTAAATAAACAAATCCATTATAATCGGTTATCTGATTACATTTTAACCTTCATATAAAACATTATTATTCCTGCGCAGTTTCATAATATACAGAATGTAAAATGAACGCTCCCGAAGGTGGGAGAGCAGGAATGGGCTGTCTCGACTCGAGTGATACCACGGCCTACAGTAAACCGATTTGAAACAACGTTTGCGGTGTGTTCCCCCATCCGCCTCCCTAATAGCCCCAATCCCTGAACCCCTAACAATCCTCAATTTCCCAATCCCCAAAAGGCCGGTAACGCACTTGTAACGCCTCTAGTGTTTCAGGTGTCCATGGGCGACGCTGATTGCTTACCATCAGATGAACCGTATGTTCGTTTACCGGCTCATTCCATTAAAAAAATACGCATACCGCAAGAGGTTTTTCTGAGGGGGGAAAAAATCCAATGACTTCTCCCGTCTTGGGTTAGGCAGGAGGGAGTGTCAAACTCTTACTGACTACAAACCACCCCGTTCCTACTCCTGCACTTCGAGCCGGAGCCCCGGTAACCCGTATCGTACCCGTCTGCAGCTACTTAGGTATCACCGTAAGAGGTTTAGGGTTTGATTTCCGGATTGGGCAATTTTAAATGACACAGAGTCTATGACTCACCCTCCTAGGTCCAAACCATCAAAGTTAGTGTTATGTTCTAGTGTCTGTTAGCCTTCTGGAATTAGGTTTAAGTATTTATAAAAATTTAATTTAAACTAACTCTACTCGCATCTTTATGTACGTTTATCCTTACTATATAATATTATAAATCGGAAAGTGAGTTTGTTTGTTTGTTTGTTTGTTCCACTTTCACGTCGTAACTACTAAACCGATTGCTTTGAATTTTTGCAGACGTAAAGTTAGAAGTCTGGATTAAATAATAGGGTACTTTTTATCGCGGAAAATTTTGGTATTCCCGAGGGAAAACAAAATTATTAGTATAGATGGCGCTGTGTGTATTGGTATATGTCACATAGGCTACTTTTTATCCTTTTGTGACGCGAGCGAAGCTGCAGGTAAAAGCTAGTCTAAAATAAAGTAGCCAGTATGTTACTCCTTAGTAGATCAGATACATGCCAGCTAAAGTCCCGTCAAAATCGGTCCAGCCATTCCAGAGATTAGCCAGTACAAACAGACAGACAAAATGTGTTAACTTGATATGTATCGTATGTATATTCATATGCGTGTAGTAAAAAGCGGTTATGTCAATATTACAAACAGACATTCCAATGTTATTTATCCGACGTATAGATAAACATAACATCACACCTTTTATCCCTAAAGGGGTAGGCAGAGGCACACATTACGCCACTTAATGCCACTGTACAATCTAACACCCACTTTTCACTATTTATGTTATGAGTCCCATGTAATAGAGGGTGAGCCTATTGCTATATACCGGGCACAATTCCAACCTCGGTGCTACTACTGAGATTTTCTTGAAAAACCCAATAATACTTTGCCCGACCCGGGAATCAAACCAGATACCACTTGCAGTTGCGACGACTCGATGTATAGATAGATATTTATTGAGATTACTTTCATTAATTAACCAAGTTATATAAATAAATGATATGTTCAATGAATCTTGTTATTTATTTATTATTTCTCCATTACGTCGACATATTCCGATGATCACGCGATACATGACTCCAATGTGACTCGTGATACTATCATGCGCACACGCATACAACGTGCGATCTATTAAACTTTGAATTGGATGAAGGAATAGGAACTACACACTTAATAGTAGATTGTACGATTAACTACTGACTGGATGACTAGCTACTGCGCATGCGCATGGTGTAGCGGGTTCGATTTTCGAACGGAATATTTATTTTACTAATTTTTTTTATGGGATAAGCCGGTATTGGAGCAGACGGATCACCTGATGGTAAGTATTCGGCGTCGCCCGGCGTATGGACACCTGGAACACCAGAGACGTTACAAGTGCGTTACCGACATTTTGGGGATTAGGCATTTGAAGATTGCGTAGGATTCGGGGATTGGAGACATTGGGGCAAGGTTGTAATTGTGCCTCCGGTAACCTCACTCACACGACGAAACACAACGCAAGCGTTGCTTCACGTCGGTTTTCTGTGAGACCGTGGTATCACTCCGGTCGAGTCAACCCCTGCGTGCCGAAGCATGGCTCTCCCACACTTAATTTATATAAGTGGTTCAAAAATTGTTCTTCTGGGTTTGGCTGACATGTGTATCTGTGTAAAATTGTATGTTTGTAAACGTACACACGACACAGGAGAAAACCCTGGTAATCTGGTGATGGGCCAATGTTATATTTTAATCTTTACAAGCATTCTTAAATACATAATTTTATTCATATGTAAGTTTGTTTATGCACTCTTATACCTACAAGAAAACTGCTTAACAGATTTAGACAACACTTGATAAATATATATATAGTCTAGATTAACACATAGGCTATAATTTCATCTCAATAAAGATTGCCAAGCCGCTGGCAAAAGCTAGTTTATATCTGTGCGATTGAAGTCGCGGGAAACAGCTAGTATTTGATATAAATAATTATATCAACAACACGTGTAAAGTATATAAATAGATAAAATATTTGTCTGTTTCGAAACTTATTTGTAAGAAGTACCTAATTATAAAAGAGATAACTAAAAGTATTATGTCTGGTCGAGTTCATACTTTGTACTCTTTAATCACACGGAGAATTTAATCAATATTAAAATTGGGTAGTTTCCAGGGTATAAAAATTAAAAATATAATTAGTCCATCAGTTAGATAATAAAAAAATATTAGACACGTATTTTTTTATTTTCTGGTATTAAGTTGCAATACTTAGATAAAATGGCGCTAAGTTTAGGAAAGGGAGGTTGTTACGTCATAATGTGCTACAAAATGTGACACGCTGTGACGTCACACGATATTTCAAATTAATATATCGTCGAAAGTATTTAATTTTGTGAGAAATAAAAAAATACGTGTCTAAAGTTTTAAATTAAACTGTCAAACACCAAGCGGTCACCGGTGACCGCGACCTATTGTTCTTTAATTGTGTCTATAAAACGGGTACTCGACGAGTTAAAGTACCAGACGGACATTTATTAAAATAAAATTTATGATACTACCCTATTGGTGTACAGTATGGTTCACGAGTTATGGCGGGTGTGAAGTTCGCGCAGAATACTGCGAAGTAACGTAATGTAGGAACCAAAAGGGTGACGTGGGCGGGACAGGGATATGCTAGGGATTGACTCTAATTAAACACGATCGTTTTATTGTTTAATCAATTTATTTGCGAGTATACATGGGCGAAAGTGGATTACGGCTAACTTTACACCCGCCATAACTCGTGAACCGTGCTATATTGCATTCTTTATGCTAGGTGACGGGTTCAATTCAATGACATTTTATTAAAAATCTTATTTGAGTAATTCAATAGGATGAGACATCGAAGACGTGTACCAGGGTACAATCCCCAGGTTGTTGGTTTACTTTTAAAAATAACATAAAATAAATTTTATTTTGTAATGATATGTTTTAAAAAAACAGCGCCATAAAGTAATATGGACTTTTATTAATATAATATAAATATTAATTGTTTACTTTTTTCGACAAATGTTATTTACTAATGAATTTAGCATATAACACCACATACACATTACGGTGCACATTACGGCATATTTATCCCCGAGGGGGTAGGCAGAGGTGCACATTTTGCCACTGTACAATGTAACACCCACTTTTCACTATTCATGTTATGAGTCCCTGCCTGCCGGGTGAGCCTATTGCCTTATACCGGACACAATTCCAAACTCCGTGCTACAACTACTGAGGTTTTTTTTAAGAACCCAGTAATACTTGCCCGACCCGGGAATCGAACCCGAGACCTCTTGGTCGTACTTGCAACCACCCGGTCAATGAGGCACTAATGAATTTATTTTTCAATATTACTTACATCACATACGAACTATAATTATAGTATTGAGTTAATTAAGAAACCGTCAATCAGAGATAAATAAATGAGAAAAATACGTATGCTCTGTGAATCTCAGAAATAAAATTAAAATCAGGTAAAAAAATAAAACAAACACACAAAAAACAAGGTACTCACAAAATTCCATCCAGTTAAATATCCAGCCTTAAATCTGTATAGATTATCTATATCGATAATAGGGCTGCTCCTAATGTCCAAACCAGCGGCAAAAATAGTTATATAAACATTATGGAACACCCCAAATAAATGGTACACAGTTGTCCAGTATAACTTAGCATCACTCCTATCAAATAATTTCTCGTTTTCCGTTATTAAAAAACACAAAATATTATAAAATATATTACTATTTTTCCAAATTAATTCTTCCATTTTAATAATTGGTTTTATTACGCCGATAAAATAATGATAATAACACTTTTACGCCAAAATAATAATTCACTTATTTGATATTTGCTTTTTCACTTTTATTTTTTATAATATTATTTTTATAACACTATTATAATATTATAATGGAATAATATTTTAAGTTAGATTAATAGTATGAAATAATTATTAATTATAAATTATGCTAATAGACGCCCGGTTCCCGTGGTGGTTTAGGGCGACTAGTTGATAATAATTGTAAAAGTAATTAGTTCGACGGTATCTCATTATTATTTGTGTCTTATTACAAATCATGATCGTACGCATTTTACCCTCCATATTAATATTTTTGATGAAGATATTTATTATTTTGTTTACACATTATTTTATTGGCTTAATAATAGAATGTACACAGTGAAATTTATTTCGTACTAGCTTTTACCCGCGGCTTCGCTCGCGTCACAAAAGGATAAAAAGTAGCCTATGTGACATATACCAATACATACAGCGCCATCTATACAAATACTTTTGTTTTTCAAGAGCCAAGGAATGGCGTGGCAAACAATGGTTTTGAAGAACCGTCGTCTGGCGTGCCAGAGTCTTGGCTGAAACAACGACCGAAAAGCCAGATTGAAAATTCTAGTTTTTGATTTCCATTATCGTGGGTTTTGGTTTTATAGATTACTAGCTTTTACCCGCGGCTTCGCTCGCGTCACAAAAGGATAAAAAGTAGCCTATGTGACATATATACCAATACACACAGCGCCATCTATACCAATAATTTCGTTTTCCCTCGAGAATATCAAATTTTTCCGGGTTAAAAAGTACCCTATTATTTAATCCGGACTTCTAACTTTACGTCTGCAAAAATTCAAAGCAATCGGTTTAGTAGTTACGGCGTGAAAGTGGAACAAACAAACAAACTCACTTTCCGATTTATAATATTTGTAAGGATTCGTCTTAAGGCATAACAACTTGCCGTAAGGATAACTTTGGATGTATAAAGAAAATGCAAAAAAATAAAAACGAGAAAAATGAAAATATTTTAGTTAAAAAAATATTCTTTGACTTTCACGTAAGAGACAGAAGATGGACATTTTTAAGCGCTATTCGCATCGCACGTGCCGCCCGACGAGAAATACCCCTCCGAGAGTTAAATGGCGTAATGTCTTGATAATCTTTATATACATATACTTATAATTCTTCTGTGTGTATGTCACTGAACTTCTCTCAAACGACTGGACCGATTTTCATGAAATTTTTTGTGTGTGTTCAAGGGGATCTGGGAATGGTTTATATTCAAATCAGCCCGGCAGATGGCGCTGCAGTCGATGTTTAGGTTATTTATCCTAAACAGCTGAACTAATTTGAATGAATTTTTGTTTATACATTCAATTGGATATGCAGGACAACGTCTGTTGGGTCCGCTAGTGTAGTTCGTATATATTTTCAAAGTTTGCATACCTAGTTCTTTATATTTATGAAGTCTACAAATCTTATTTAATCTGTCAAACACCAAGCGGTCACCGGTGACCGCGACCTATTGTTCTTTAATTGTGTCTATAAAACCGGTACTCGACGAGTTAAATAAAATACATGAACTGAATAACGAGTGTGTTCTATTATGATGTTGTGTTTTGTAAATATTTCCCATTTAATTATTATTTAACTGTTTGTATCTACATTGTTATTATAACGCCTACAAACTTAATACATGCAAAAACATTCAATTAATTTCATTTGCTCGCAAATGAATTATGAATTTTTGTTCTTGATTTTTTTCATTTTTAAGCGTTGCCCCACACTAGGATTGTGTCCTGTGTCGTGTGTGTTTTTACAATCATACAAGTTCACATACACATGCCACCCAGACCCGAAACAACAATCTGTAGATCATACAAAGAGTTGTTATCTTGAATAGCATTCAGAATACGGAATATAAAGCCAAACTCAATACCATTTAGTTCATTAAACATCCACGCAATACGGATGCAATGGGCGCTAGTGTTGCGACTCAAGAGTACAAAATTTCACAATACCAATGTCAATGGATCTGGAGGTCTACTCCGGTTCTCGAATGCGAAGTTTCGTTTGATTTGCGGCCGCAAACAACGTTTTCGGAACCATAGACAACTTTCGTGAACTATAATGAACGAATGAAATGAAAATAAATAAATATGCAATAAAACGGTTTAGATTCGAAATTAAAAATAAATTTTTATTTTAAGTAATTATACAACTAAAATCATAATGTCATGGCTTAGCACACATAATCATCAAGAAAATCATGCATAAGCTTTTAATATTAATGTTTAAGATGGAAAATCTTAAACAGGATAAAAACCTCCTTTCAAAGATATATTATACGACCAAATTAAAAAGTTTAAGAATGTTGTCATTGTCATTTATTGACATTTATTTATAAAAAAAATGACAACCAAATTTATTCGTATTATATTAGTACAGTCAGTTAAAAATTTTAAATGTCTACATGAGAATTTGAAGACAATAAATTATTTCATGTTATGATGATTAACAATATATTTTTGAAAGAATTTATCTTACTTATAAATGTCGGTATATTAATAGATGTGAAAGAATAGCGAAAATATGTACTTGCAATACTTAAGTTAATTTTTCTAGTGGTATTATGAGTTTTAAAATAAAACATTACACATGAAACCTTTATGTACAATACATAAGGTATTCAAATAAGTATTTAATTACCATAAATGTTACTAACTCTCATAGACATATAAAATATATAGGTTTGTGTAAACAAACTATTTTAGCTGACTGTACATTGATTTTATATCGTCATTTAAGTGGTTTCTTTGGTGCTCTACGTGTTGCCCACACGAAGAAACCGTGATAAAACGAAGACTTACAATTACTTCCATTCATTTTTTAATAAAATTTAACTCAAACGAAAATCAACCGATAACTATTTTGGTTTCGTCGAAATGACATTAAACGTCCGAAAAATAATCTGTCAAACTCGAATTTTCGTTCGTGCGGATTGTACAATTAGAGTAGGGTTCCGAAAATATCGACGTCAAACAGTACATCTCATACTAATTTCTGGCTTGTTTCATTCATTTTTCGTTCGTTTATATGTCATTGTGGTAGGTAATCTTTGAAGTTTCGTCCGAAACGTTTTTCGTCGAATCCAGAATTGGATCCAAGAGTAAGCCTGATGGCGCTATAGTGCTTGTGGAATTAGTTGGCCAGGCATCAGACCACCACGGATGGTGCCCAATAGGGCTGATGCCGATTCGGAGTCGCGGAGAACTTAACGGGTTACCGGGACTCCGGCTCGACGTGCAGGAGTAGGAACGGGGTGGTTTTTAGTCAGTAAGAGTCTGACACTCCCTCCCGCCTCACCCAGGCGGGAGAAGTTATTAGATGATTGTCCCCCCTTAAAAAAAACCTATTCAGCGTGCACTATAGTGAAAAACTCGATCTTAGTCCAATTGGGAATTAGGTAGCGTCATCCTATTGGGCATTCAATGTGTGACAGGTGCAGTGATTGAACAATAAGCTCCTTCCTAAATTTGTGCCCGTTTAGTGACCAAAAATACGTAAGCTCCCTTAACAATGACACGCCTAAAAAAGGTATTGTCCTCCAACTTCACCTTAGTACACGTCTGCTAACCTCTTTTATACAAGGTGTAGTTTTGAAAACCGTGCCATACTCGAGAGCATGTCACAGAAGTCATAAAGGTTCAATGTAAAAGAAAGTTTCGTGCCAATAGTTAAAAATACGGCTATAATAAATCGTTTAAGTTCGACAATATTTCAGAATAAGCGACAGCAATGTTTCTTATTGGAGTTTTATGGAATTAGGAATAATATCAATTACGTGTTTGAGTTTGTGTGTGTTAAGCCGCGTTATAAAGCTAGTTACAAGACGGCGGCGTGTAGTTCGCGCTTACGGATTTCCGTAATTTATAGAAAAATGAAAAATATTTAAGTAGGTACAATTTTTTTATTGATTCGGACTCAGGATCGATAGCCGAGTTACCTCCTAGAAAATGACGCGGCATTAAAACAACACCTTGTATAATAAAAGACGAAGTGCTAAAGTTTAAAAAGTTAAAACGTCAAGGAGATTTTCTATTAAAAAACTCGTTTTGTTGTGTTACGACGAAGTATGGCAACAAAAACGGCTTAGTTAACGATTCTGATTCATTTTTAGTACGTTTTGGGGGTCAGTAGGTTGGGGAAAAATAAACAAATATTGTAACTGATTCAGTGTTAAATAGATATCCGTAATTCCGTACAATAGAGTGATATTTCACTCCAAAAACAGTCGAAAAAAGAACTTTAGGTGTGATTATATTTGCATGGGATGAGCCAGTAAACGAGCAGATCACCTGATACGCAATCAGCGTTACTAGTGCGGTACCAGCCTTTTGGGGATTGGGGAGATTCTAGAGGGAGGGAGGCGGTAATTGGGCCTCCGGTAACCTCACTTACACGACGAAACATGACGCAAGCGATGTTTCTCGGCCGTGGTATCGCTCCGGTCGAGCCGGCCCATTCGTGCCGAAGCATGGCTCTCCCACACTTCTTTCTCGTGTCAATCAAATCATTACGTTTGGGCTAATTAAATTTGGGCAAAAACGGGATATGTAGCATTTTAATCTCCATATGAACATAATACTTATGCATTTATAAAGGTAAAGGTAATAATTATTTTATAAATTGGGTACCTATGTTTAAAAAAACGAATTCGCAAATTGGGTACCTATGTTTAAAAAAACGAATTCCTCGGTTGCACAGGCTAACAAAAACTTTTTCTAGGTGTGAAAAAACATTTCTTCGAAAACAGCATCAGTATCGGTTCATCCATTCGCGAGATAATCGTACACAAATAAACACACATACATATGTACATTCACACAGGTCAAACTGAGAACCCTTTTTTGAATTCAGTTAAAAATCCCATAAAATAAACTAATATACACCTAACCTACGAATCAATCCCTAAATCAATGAGACAG